TTTTTCTGGCAACAAAACCTGGTGATTTTTTTATGTGATCTTCAAATATATCTCATGAATTGTCTACAAAAAGTTATTGTAAGAGTGCGTGTCTGTGCGTGTGGTGTGTTTGTTCTTTGCTAGTTCCCTCTAAAATTTACTAGAAATGTCACACTAATAGCAACTGGGAAACAGAGTCATTTGCAGCTGCATTTCTCTTACTTTACAATATGAAAGCAGCAAATGAATACTACCTTTGCCAACAAAAAACCAGGCACTTTAAAAAGTACTTTGCTGATTGCTCTTGTTTTATAGTCTCTGGTGTACCATATCTACTCTTCTGCACAGGCAAGTTATCCTGACATAATGTAAACATAATGTATTGATTATTTCTTTTGGCCAGGATAACTGTCCCCTTCTGCCTAACTCTGGCCAAGAAGACTTTGACAAAGATGGCAAAGGAGATGCCTGTGATGAGGATGATGACAATGATGGTGTTGAAGATGACAAAGTAAGATGTGTATCTCTCTGCCGTATGTTTGACCTAATAATCTGATTTTAAGGAAAACCATTACAATAGATGTGAACTTTATTATTCAGATCTTCAATTGAGTTATTCTGCACTTCCTTCCCTGAATGATGTGTAGTGCAGAGTAAAGCTGTATTCAGTCAAAGGAGAGTAGTACTGTGCAGAGCAAAGCAGACTGGGGAGCCCCTGGAATTATGTTCTCTGTATCGGTTTTGAGTTCAGTTATGTACATTAAAACAGTTTAATGGAAAGTGGTAATGGATTTTTTTATATTGTAATGGAAGAATGGCAAGTCTAGTGTGTTTGAAAAGCTGGTAAATATTATATATATATGATGTTATTTTTATTCATGGTAACTTGTTTCCAAAACAACTATAAACACAGGCAGTATCAAAGGAAAATGATGGGAAGAAAAATCTAGCCTGGTTTATACTTTCCTTTAGATCTGCCCAGAAGACAAATTAATTTACCTGCAGAGCCTAAAAGATAGCCATGTAGTCTAAAACCGTTGCCTTGTACAATCAACAGAAAGAGGCACTTTGAGAGTTTGCCTTACCCTGGCTTTTTAGAACATATTTAGGATAAGGGAACTGGTATTAGAATTTTACTGTTCCTCTTTGTTCCCTTCAGAGGCAACCTAGATGCTCTAGAGCTTCAGATGGTTAAAGTTGGGTAAGAGCTGTGTTCATTTGGTCTCTATTTGGAAAACTTAAAAAAAAAACAACAACCCAAATAATAATTTGATAAAGAAATATCATTTAGTAGGTGTATTTTTTAAATTGTAGCTAGAAATTGTTTTACGAACAGCGTAAGATTTTTACTTGCCTCTAATTGTATGAGTGAGCCAGGCTGTCCAGATGCCATCCTGTTACTGCCATGACCTTCAGTATACGTACAGCTTGTCCACTGAAAAATAATGGATCAATATTTGATTTTTGAATTCTGTCCAAGCTGAACAGGAGTTACCACTTCATAATATGCTCTCATGAATTGTGATTTATATTGTGAAATCTTTTTTTTTTTTCTTACTAGGACAATTGCCCTCTTCTGTTCAACCCTCGCCAGTTTGATTATGACAAAGATGAAGTTGGTGACCGCTGTGACAATTGCCCCTATGTGCACAACCCTGCTCAGATTGACACAGACAACAATGGGGAGGGTGACTCCTGTGCTGTGGACATTGATGGAGATGGTATGATTTACCAATTTTGAGAATTAGGTGCTGTTCCACAAGTGCACTTTGGTTTATGTCCAGTAAGATGGGCTACTTGGTTTTATACGTGGAATAAAATTTGGTCTAGCAGTTCAAAAATACAGAAGACAGAAGGCTGAATTTTATTTGCCCTGTGTAGTGTGGTTGTCCATACAGTCCCTAAATGACTACAATTAATATTACTAAAGAATAAATCAGTGAGTCTTTATCAGTGTAATCTTTAAAAAAAAAAACAAAAACAACTTTCTTTCATCTGTGTTCCAAAGTAATCAGGGTCTAATATAACACTTCTGTTGACTTTTCCTTTTCCTTTTAGGGAGGGAAAAGAACATCAAAATATTCACATAGTAAAGACAATATCCACAGTAATATGATCTGCTTTTCTATGAATGTATAAGTATGCAAAACTCACAGTAATCTAAATATGCATTTTTTGCATGTCTTAAAATATTGTTAGAAAGTGCTTATTTCCTCCACCAGTACATTCCTTTATAATCCCCATTTGATCAGAATTAAGATGGGAGAAAAACACTTAAATATTGTTTAAAAATCATATCCCTTTGTCATTTCAAATGTATGAGGATACAGAAATACTAAAAGTTGAAGAAATGTAGCTTTGGATTTTAAACATTTGGATGTTTTTGACTTTAGCTTCTGAACATTTGGAAGTTCTCTCATCCTCCTTCTGATCATCAGGTTCATACTAGTACTCGTGGTAGTTCTGCATTTGAAGAAAAATTCAATCATATGTTATTGGCTGAAAGATTATGCAAATCTACAGGGACAATGTAATACAGGGAAGGGTCCTTTTATCTTTCCCAGACAGATATACCAACATGTGTTTGTTTCTTTTCATCTTACAATTTTGAAGTAGACTGTTGGTTTTATAATGAAGTTTCCTGAGGAGGAGCAGTTTCTTTTGAAAATTTGGCGTACTATACAACTAATGATGAACATGTTCTGGTAAAATTATTTAATGCTGAGGCAGCTGAATATTAATACAGTTGTTTCTATATAAAAGTTCAGAAGTTTGAACCTGATATAGCTGTGCATTCCATGCCATTTCTTAGAGTGGGGGACTAAAATCCAAAACAAATTATTTAAAAAAATTCCCCACCCCTTTATCTGTTATACAATGAAAAGGACTACATTCTAAGACATAATCAAGCCTTATTCTTCCATAGGAAAATACATTCAGAAAACTTTGTCATAATAAGAAAAATTGATACCATAATTTTTTTTCTAATATTAGTTTTAACTATTTGTAGCAATGATGTTGTAATCAGAAAGATTGAGTCCCTTGCTTCTTCACTGGTGATTCCTGCAGTCTGTGGCTGTCTGTGTTGTATGTTGTATTATTTTGATTTTTTTTTTTAATATTTTGTTGGGTTTTTTTCCCCTAGACATTTTTAATGAACGGGATAATTGCCCTTATGTCTACAACACAGACCAGAGCGATACAGATGGTGATGGAGTTGGTGATCAGTGTGATAATTGTCCATTGATGCATAATCCAGACCAGGTAAATGACGAATATAGTCTCCTTAATGGTAACATCAAAACAAGGGCAGAGAAAAGACCACAGGAATAGGATAGGAATTGCTATCAGTCCCTGTACTGAACAGCTGAAAAGGTGAATCTATATTGCTCACTTTCACATCTCATATTGTGAGATTCCTTTGTATCAGATGAAAGGGAAGTACAGTGATGATTGCTTTAATCCATCTGCAAGTAAAGCCATGTCCTGCAAGTATTCTGGGGACCAGATCTTACCCACTGATAGAAGAATAAGTTGCCATACTAGCTTGAAGTTATGCTTGTACTTTTAGCACTGTTGTCATTGTGATATTTGTCACTACAGAAGCCCTTGAAGAGAAGTGTTGAACAGTTAAGTACCATGCTGTACTTTTGTATTGAGTAAAAATAATAAAATTATTCTGTACAATTCTTTTTTGGGGTAGACTGATGCAGATAATGACCTTGTTGGTGACCAGTGTGACAATAATGAGGACATAGATGAAGATGGCCACCAGAACAACCAGGATAACTGCCCTTACATCCCCAACGCTAACCAGGCTGACCATGATCAGGATGGTAAAGGAGATGCCTGTGATTCTGATGATGACAATGATGGTGTCCCAGATGACAGGGACAACTGCCGCCTCAGATACAACCCTGAGCAGGAAGACTCAGATGGTAAGAGCAAGGTCATATGAATTTCATCTACTTCTTAGTATCTGATTTTGATTTTGTAGTATTAACATTTGGTGAAGAGAGACTTTGCATCAAACCAAGCTTCTTTTGACATTTGAGACACCATGGAATTCAATGGAACTAAACTGGTCAGTTTGATCAAGGGTTAGAGCATTAGGAAACATCTTTGACAGGAGCTCAAACATGCACATACTTAATTATAGGAGAAAATCTTTAACAGTTTTTTTTTTAAACAGAAAAATCCATGTTTTTGTTAAGATTCTTATTTTCACATTTAATTGAAATATTAAAAGCGTCAGAAAGTATTTAAAATATCTTGAATTACAAATACTTTAAAAAATGAAAAGTGAGCTGTTTCATTTTCCATCTGAAAATTAAAATGGAAAAAAAATGGTTTACTACTGTATTTTATTTTGAAAAATAGACTATTTCTTCAGGATATTTTAAGTCTATCTTTTTGTTTAATTGACTCCTGAGCAACTTTTCTCAAATTGTCTTTACAGACTGCTTTAAATATGTCTTGATGATATACATGTCACAGTTTAAAAAAATGGATATGTAATTGCCCTTTTTTCCTTTTTTTTTTGTAAAATGTTGTTGGTCACCTCA